GGTTGCAGGACCAATCTGAAGAGTTGTGAGATCACTAAGATTAGAAAAAAGAAAACAAACTGCTGCATTTTTTTCCAATCTTTGATTATTTATTATGCAAGACATCACTCTTTGGTTGAACTTGTCATAACTCATTGACATACTTTTTGCAACCTGTGACTAAGGTGTTGCAAGTAGACATATCTTCACTTTAAAGGAGACAGACTAAGAAAAATTAGAGTTGTTTCTCAATCAGGAGCAAAGGAGGAAGCCATATGACGTCATCATAGTGCGAACACAAGTCCGAACACAAAGGACAGGATCGATTAAGGGGTCAAAAAAATCGTTTTTACACAAACCATGATGTTTCACAAACTCTTATGTGTGCTGTTTTGGAGGGAATGGACTGAGGATGTATTTGGTCATTTTCACTTGGAGGATTTGAGGCTTTAAAGGGCCATAACAAGCCAAAATGGTTGGTGACCCACTGGTTAAAAGGACATTTGTTCCAAACTGCAACTATATTAATGTATGTACTATTTAGAACAGTCTACTCTAAACATTATGGAGGCAGTTCCAAGAGTGTTACCAGCAAAGGTGAAAGAGGTAGTCAGAACTTTAACTTAGGGAAAGGTAGCAATACTAAATTGTAAAAATACTCTGATCCATGTAAATATACTGTATTCAAAATCTTAAATAAGTGAAAGAACCGGAATTGGCATCAAAATATACCTAAAGTACCAAAAGTAAAAGTACTCATCATGCAGAATGGTCCAATTTCGGAATATTATATATTAATTCACTGTATCACACAGTTAGTGATGTATTCATGTGTACACCACTTCAATGTTGCAGCTGGTAAAGGTAGAGCTAATTCCAATTACTTAATATACTGGGTTAGAAATGGAAGTACTCAAGTTAAGTACAAGTACTTCAGAATTGTACTTAAACACAGCACTTGAGTAGGTGTACTTAGTTATTTTCCACCATTAGTGGCCTCCTCAGCTGGGAATACTACTACAACTGTGCCCTCAAGCAAGGCATTCAGTTGCTTCAGTGTATCTGTTAAGTGTATTAAGAGTATGAAAAGTATAACGTTACAGTACATGAACACTACTGATGTCTACAGAAGACATACAGCAGATTTGTGACGATGCAGAGGTCGACAAAGGTTTAAAAGCACACCTCCTTCCCATATGTGTAGGATCTCATTTGCATACAGATGGAGAGTGTGTCAGAGTGTGCTGGAATCACTCTGGTATTGTGCACATCAGTGTCTCCTCACTGCAGTGCTGGATCTTGTCTTTCCTTCAAAGAGCAGGTTTTTTAGCTCCCACCTGTGAATGGACTGCATTCAGAAAGAGGGGAGGTAATCCATCTGCTGCGGTAACACGCATCCAGATGGTCTCTGGAGAACGGGGCCGTCCCGTGTGTCCAGTTACAACATGAAAGCAACAGGGACGCAACTCAAGCATCCATCTATCCTCCCATCCGCACCACGCTTCTATAGTAAACGGCGAAGGGAAGAGGTATTTACAGAAATGTTCCGCATACACACAGGCTGTGTTCAAAATCGTAATGTCTTATTCGTATTAGTATCACGTAAAATTGAGTATGTAGTGCGTTCCAGATGCATATAGACAGTTTTCATTCACCGGTAGCTAGGACCGGTAAAGTCGTGATCGATATGGTCACGTGATGCAGGGAAGACGTCTTGCTTGAGTTTACTTTAGTGTGAACAGTCTGCTGGTAATGGCCCACTTCATTGATAATTTAGAAGGCAGTATGCAGTACAAACTAATGAGCGTGTAGTATGCAGTACTCTAGTATGCGATTTCCAACACAGCCAAAGTCTCAGTAAGAATAAGCTTGATTTTGGGAAGTAACCCCATCTGTTTTGTTTCGGATGAGAAAGTGGATACCAGGCTACTCTTTGTGTATTAAGTATGGAGCTCGAGTCAGGTGAGCGAATAAGAGTATTTCCCAAATTGTTGAAGTCTTACTTCAAGGCCTGAAAGTAAAAAACTAAAAACAATCACCTTGAATCATCTAGAGCTCTCTGTATTTCATGGTGTTGCGAAGTGATTGTAAAACACCTTATCTTGTAACAACAATGGAAACAGACCCCAATATTCATGTAGATGTACAACTGAACATGTTTTGAGCAACTTGACTGAACATCTTGATTTCAGCGATAAGCCGCAAGCTGACTTGTGTTTTTGAACCTCCCACGTAAGAAGCAGAGGGTCAAACGATTCTCTTTCAGTCTTAATGTCAAGAGATATACATGAAAATGGAATTTAAAAAGGTGTTCGGTATCTAGTCAGATGTGTCTATAGAGTGCTTCTTTACCAGAGAAGAGTGCTTTGACACTAAAGTAGGAGGGAGCATATAAGCGTGACCTGTTGCCATTTGTCTCCTAGCAACATGCTTTTAAGCAGGGCAACACAAGTGTGGCCTCATGAAGGATATAAAGTGAGACCGATATAGAAAGTCACACATGACAGACACGTTTCAGCAAATACTTGTCACAATGTGCAGAGTTTGATGAGTTTCTTCATTTTTATCTTTGTAACAATAAATCCACGAGAAAGAAAATGTTCTTCCTGTTTTTCTTACACTCGATAAAATCATCTCCACAGTGCAACAGTCTTTTATTTCCTCTCTCCGGCTGAATGGGAGAACTCTGCTTTTCATTTCTGGGAAACCGATCAGCATCAGGTCTGCAGAATTTACATTTGCTTCTGCTTGTCTCTTAATCAGGATGTGTTTGTTCAAGAGAGATGATGTGTATCAACGGGCAGCTGCTGACAGATTCATGTAAGCAGCAGCAGGTAAAGCGCTGTGGATTTCAAGTAAATCCCATTATACTTGCTCATCTCTGTTCTTTCAGTTTCCTGTGGAAGTAAAGCACTTGTTACACTTCATGCAAACATTACCTGAAGTCCCCCATGAATGTGCAAACATGTACGAAGACCCTCTAATGTTGTTGTGAGCAGATACAAGGACTTGGTTTACTTGGTAAAGTAGGTTATTTGTCAGTGATTATGACTTATGAAGACATACAGTGGGTACGGAAAGTATTCAGACCCCTTTAAATATTTCACTCTTTGTTTCATTGCAGCCATTTGCTAAAATCAAAAAAGTTCATTTTATTTCTCATTAATGTACACTCAGCACCCCATCTTGACAGAAAAAAACAGAAATGTAGAATTTTTTGCAAATTTATTAAAGAAAAACTGAAATATCACATGGTCATAAGTATTCAGACCCTTTGCTCAGTATTGAGTAGAAGCACCCTTTTGAGCTAGTACAGCCATGAGTCTTCTTGGGAATGATGCAACAAGTTTTTCACACCTGGATTTGGGGATCCTCTGCCAGTCTTCCTTGCAGATCCTCTCCAGTTCCGTCAGGTTGGATGGTGAACGTTGGTGGACAGCCATTTTCAGGTCTCTCCAGAGATGCTCAATTGGGTTTAGGTCAGGGCTCTGGCTGGGCCAGTCAAGAATGGTCACAGAGTTGTTCCGAAGCCACTCCTTTGTTATTTTAGCTGTGTGCTTAGGGTCATTGTTTTGTTGGAAGGTGAACCTTGGGCCCAGTCTGAGGTCCAGAGCACTCTGGAAGAGGTTTTCTTCAAGGATCTCTCTGTACTTGGCCACATCCATCTTTCCTTCAATTGCAACCAGTCGTCCTGTCCCTGCAGCTGAAAAACACCCCCATAGCATGATGCTGCCACCACCATGTTTCACTGTTGGGATTGTATTGGGCAGGTGATGAGCAGTGCCTGGTTTTCTCCACACATACCGCTTAGAATTAACGCCAAAAAGTTTAATCTTGGTCTCATCAGACCAGAGAATCTTATTTCTCATAGTCTGGGAGTCCTTCATGTGTTTTTTGGCAAACTCTATGCGGGCTTTCATATGTCTTGCACTGAGGAGAGGCTTCCGTCGGGCCACTCTGCCATAAAGCCCCGACTGGTGGAGGGCTGCAGTGATAGTTGACTTTGTGGAACTTTCTCCCATCTCCCTACTGCATCTCTGGAGCTCAGCCACAGTGATCTTTGGGTTCTTCTTTACCTCTCTCACCAAGGCTCTTCTTCCACGATTGCTCAGTTTGGCTGGACGGCCAGGTCTAGGAAGAGTTATGGTCGTCCCAAACTTCTTCCATTTAAGGATTATGGAGGCCACTGTGCTCTTAGGAACCTTGAGTGCTGCAGAAATTCTTTTGTAACCTTGGCCAGATCTGTGGCTTGCCACAATTCTGTCTCTGAGCTCCTTGGGCAGCTCCTTCGACCTCATGATTCTCATTTGCTCTGACATGCACTGTGAGCTGTAAGGTCTTATGTAGACAGGTGTGTGCCTTTCCTAATCAAGTCCAAGTCCAATGGAGTAGAATCAAGTTCTACTCCATGAAGGAGTAGAACCATCTCAAGGAGGATCAGAAGAAATGGACAGCATGTGAGTTAAATATGAGTGTCACAGCAAAGGGTCTGAATACTTATGACCATGTGATATTTCAGTTTTTCTTTTTTAATAAATTTGCAAAATTTTTTTCTACATTTGTTTTTTTCTGTCAAGATGGGGTGCTGAGTGTACATTAATGAGAAATACAATGAACTTTTTTGAATTTAGCAAATGGCTGCAATGAAACAAATAGTGAAACATTTAAAGGGGTCTGAATACTTTCCGTACCCACTGTATTTTGGTATTGTGACACCTCATCTGTTTATACTGCAGCCTCCACTTACGGCATCTACAGGAGTTACAGTTATTGACACATACATTATAAACACTTATATCTGCTTAAAACCACAATATAGTGTTTCATATTTTAATTATTAAAGTTCATACATTTTACAAATGACTCAGAGGTCACAAATAAGATATTGGTCGCCTACAAATGTCAGCGTTCAGTTGTACTTAGCTCCAACCCAGTGTATGGTCTGTAGTGTCGTGCTCGTGACAGTCTCCCAAAATAAGCTTGAAGTATATAATATAATAATTATAGGAAAAGAAAATAAATTTCATTTTGGGCATCAAACCCATTTTATTTCAACTTAATGCAGTTTAATCCAACACAGTTAGTGCACATGCAAAGTATCATATTTAAATATATATACTGTATGTTTGTACCAAGTGTCATGTTTTAAAAGTTTTAATATTTTAACATTTAGGTAATAAATTAACAAAATTGAAACATTACTTAAAACACTGCCCACAATGAGTATACACTTTTTAATAAAGCAAAAAAAAAAAAAAAAAAAAAGCATGATAAATTCTTAAAACTGCAATATTCGTTAGTTTGTACTTTTTTTTCAGAAAATACTTTTTTTAAACGTAAATTCAGTGAAAATAAAAATCACAATTGGACAAATTTCTTTGTCTTTACCATGAGAAAAACCATAATACTTCTTTCACTTAAAGGTATTATGTGTAGGATTGTCACTGAATATTACACTACCTAACAGAATAACATGTGCTACACTTTATAATCACTATGAACGGCTTAATAGCAGCACATCCGATTATCTGCCCCGTGTTGCTTCAGAATATTCAGCTACCAGTCTGCCAATAAAGAAGCAAACATGGCCGACGTCATCCAAAATCAAGTGACTTATCCAACAAATAAAGTATTGTCGAGTAGATCACCGGAGGTAAATGTTTAAACTATCTCAGCCATTGGTCCAATTTAACAGTAATTAGAGAATACTACACATAGCACCTTTAAAAACATGTTCACGGTTGACTGTTGCTCAGCTCATGATCACTAAAAATACAGTAAGAAATCGTCAAACGGTGAACAAACAATTAACAGAAGAAAAGGAAAACACGATCACAGTTGAAGAAGCAACTACAGCATAGCCATGGGGGTACATCTATAAAAGTCTGGTACCGATGAATTAAAGAGTTCTGTCACAGAGAACCACTGAGCTTTGACATTTCTGACATGTTGCTGAGAATTTGATACGTCAGCGCCTTAGAAGCAAGCAAATGGACACAAAATATTTTCGTTGTGTGCCTGAGAGATGGAGGTAGAACTGTCCAATGCCGGGCTAATGGTTAATATCCAGCATAGGCAAGAATGAATTAAACAACCCTTGACTTACCTCATATATTAAGCATTTTATTCAATAGAAGTAGCATATGGCTTACCAGTGGCACAGTCTGCAACCTCACTCTGGACTGTCAAAAGTGCATTTGCTTTAGTCGTGGAGGGGGAGGTTAGGATGGTCGCGGTGGGAGACTTAAAGGAATAGTTCAACATTTTGGGGGATACTCTTTTCTTGCCGAGAGTTAGACGAGAATATCGATATCAGGGCGTAAAAGTAAATAGGAAGTTACAGCCAGCAGTTGGATAGCTTAGCATTAGCTAAGATTATGCTAAGCTAAGTTAGCCAGCAGCTGGCCGTAGCTTCATATTTATCACACAGACATGAGAGTGAAGTCAATCCTCTCGTCGAAAACCATCAGCAAAAATGGCAAATAAGCATATTTTCTAAATGGTCAAACTTTTCCTTCAAGTCCTCCAAGAACTCTGCCAATCACGAGTTTTAACGACCTTTACAAGACTTCCATCAGAACAAAGAGTTTGGTGTTAAAGTAAAATGTTTGCATTTTAGTAAAAAAGAAAAACACATCAGTGTGAAACTAAATAAGATTATAAAAACATAGCCCGTCACATCCGAATAGCTTAAAAAACTAATATCAAAAAATGGTTGAGTATAAAATAGACTGCAGGTCTGATAACAGACCACCTTGTGAGTTTTGACAGCAAAGGCTGAACAAAAATAAAATACATAAATTTAAATTCCCACCGTATATATATATATATAGAGAAGCTGGCTGAACCAGCTGAAACTGAAGTGCTGCCCCGCCGGTTGCCACTTGCAACAGCTGACTATTTTTGCGGATGCCACGTTAGTTTCGTCAATCATTACGGCTGCTGTCTGTCCTCGCTGATGTTCACTAAATGCACTCGACTGTCAGATAGTAGCTGGAGGGAAGGTGTGGAGAAATGTGGACTGCCGTTGGCCTGCTGGCTGATGCTGCCCGCAGTGACGAGCCCGTGGAGAAGGCCAAGAAAAGCCTTCATGTTTTTACTTTAACTTCCCTCAGAAATAAATATAATTTTGGCCAAAAGAGAAGTCACATGGCAGCTCTCCACATTTGACAGACACAAAGTTACAGACTGGCCTTAAACGTTTAAAATGGCTTTGTTTTACATCAAGCCAGATCAAAAGCAGTTGGCCTAATTACAGCAAACAGAGATTTTCTAAACACACAGAGGAATATTCTTTTTGCAAGGATTATGGCTAACCCATTTAAAATGTGGGCGACAAAAAAAGTGACCACCATCTTCATCATTTGCCACAATAGGTCCATCTCGTACCAGACAAGAACAAAACGATGGAAAACTGTGAGCACCATTGGGAATCTTTCAATAAGGTTCTCCATTAAACTCAACAGGTGTTGAGATCCACTCGGGACCTCATTCAACTGAAGACCAAAGAATGGTTTGTCACATGGAAGAAGATGGAGGAAATTAGAAGGTTAGGGATATAACGTGGGTAAGGTGCCAAATAAATAACTTTCTGAAAGCTAAAAAATGACAATTTAAAGATATTATGATGGTTATCAAGATATAAAGTGTGGTTACGAAAATATTGTTCAAAAAACCCTGTTGGTGTTTACAGCAGCCATGTCTCCATTCAGCTCACAAGTCGATTTTAAACAAACTTTTGAAATGTCACAAAACAAAAATGGGAATTAGACGTGTTTCCATCAACTGGTTTGTAGCAAATGAACTTGGCTACAGCGTAGTTTGGTCAGAAGGTGGCGCTACAGGCTACGCATGCCTTCATTCCGCCAGTAAACTGAATAAAAGAAGTAGAGGCCTTCAGGAATTTGTTATAATTGGGCAAGTTTGAATTATTCTTTCATGTCAGCTACTATTGGCCAAGTTTCATGTTGTTTGGAGACCAAGACAAGCAGTCGCACATTATGGGAATATTCCAGAAAACGCAGTCAGTTTAAACGTTATTTCCGCAATTGAGGACGTGTTTTTTCCGTACGCAATACTTCAAAACACGCAAAAACTATGTGAATGGAAACACGGCTAGTGTGAACGTCCTTGTTTTGATTAACTCGACACATAACACTAACAAGTTGTCCATTGGTCATTTCATGGGTTTCCAAAGGTGGAATCCACATTTTTACAAACTTGTTACAGTGGATACTTCCTGTAGTTTGTATGCGCTCGAAATTTTGCATCGAAATTTTACGATCGATACCAAAAAACACAAAGAGTGTCTGATTTAGTGACGGACGTCAGGTTTGGGTGCTAATTTAAGAGAATATGAATCAATTTAGCAAATGAGTCATCTTTCTTTTTCCAAAGAAAATCAACAAAATAAAATTTGTTCAAGCAGTTCCAGCAAACTATACAATCTTACATCAAGGAATGGTCTCTGACGGACGGAGGGATACCGAAGCTCAATGAGTGGGGCGTACAGGGAGATAAATATGGCTTAAGGGTTCTGCATATGTTCCTATACAGTCTGGGTGGATAATATACATGACTCAAGTATGTGAAACATATTTAGTTTGGTTGATACAAATTCTCTTGACTTTGTTTGTGCAGATAAAAACCAATGAATTAAGAGCTCAAGCCGCACCAGATTGCCGTGCCGAGATGCCCCAGTCCTCTTCTAAGAGAACCACTGAGAGATTCAGTCAGGACAAAACACACACCTAACACACCAATGAAGAAGAATTACCAAAAAAACACAAGGTGTTATGGATAAGAGAAGACAAATGTTCACATTTGATTGTCAGTTGTTCCTCAGGATAAAAAAAAAAAAGCCCCGAGGAACAAAATGAATCCTGGATTGACGCTCATCTTTACCTGAAGAACTTCTTCATTCACCCGAGTTCAGAAGAACACGTCTACAGTAAGTTGTATTCTGGTTGCCTTTGTTTGAAACAGCAGGTTTATGATTGAACTTGTGATTTCACCTTCAATTTATTCAAGGTGTTGTTAACATTGAACTACAGTTGAACAGATAACTAAAATACAGCACTTTTCATTTTGTAGTCAACAAACCAAGTTATTCAGGCTGTTTTCTTTTTTTTTGTTTGTTTTTTTAAATAAACTTAAAACTTCACTCACTATATTTTCGTCACACATATTTTCCAACTTCCAAACTCTGCAGGTGCACCAAGAAGAGTCGCTCTCTTATGTTGGACAGTAATGATGTATAAATAATGACGTGTGTTTTCTGTTGTGAGCAGGAATTTTCTAAAAATGGTGTCTTTGATTCAGAACTTGCATATTTTTAAGAAAACTACAAGATGGGGGAATTGCTTCCTTTTCACATATTGATTAATAAATGAAGTGCCAGCCCTTTTAGAATGAAGAGAAAACAACAATGACATATAGTACGAACTCTGTTGCCTTTTGAGCTGCAAATTAATTTGAAATATATGAATAGAACATGCTGGTCATCGTCACATCCAGAGATCCACCCTGAATATGTTTGACTATTTGGACCTGAGATTTTGGCAAACTGCTGTTGAGATTCACTTTGTGAGATAAGGTTTGTGTGTTCATGACCCTTGGAGATTTACAAAGCAGAATCTCTGAAATGAATTATGACCAATCTTATTGATGGGTTTAAGTCCTTTTTTTTTTTTTTTTTAAATATGCTCCTACACCTGCATTATTAATGTGTTCAAGATGTCACTTCGACATGCCGGGTATGACAGGAACTCTCTAGAAATGATTTTGATTTTAATGAAAATGATAAAAAAATGATGCACCGGAGAGCAAAAAAAGAACTCCTTCAAAAACGATTCAGTGACATGTTACAGTCCAAATATCGGTAACCCTTTGTAGGATTGTGCTCGAGAACAATGACACTTAAAACTGAGGCGAGGCCTTCGGTGCAGGGGCAGGTGGGTGTATGTGAAAAAAAAAAAGAAAAGACCTAAATCACATTTTCCACTTGGCTTGCAGAGGAAAGAAAAGTCTGCCAATATGTCCACTGGTTTGACTTAATGAAGATTTCCTAACAGAGTTGATTGCAGTGACACAGTGATTGTTGAGCCCAGGGTACTATCAGAAGTATTGCTTAAAGGCTGTGGATCAGAGAACACTATTGAGGCATGCTCGAACAAGTGGTGGTTAAAACGCACCTCACACCTCAGTCCGTTACAAGGCCCCACCATCGACTAGCATAGTTTTTGCATTACTGGATCATGGATTAAAGGAGTACGCCACTGCTTGGTTTAGCTGCGTTACCTTATCTGCATCTTTAATGGTTCATGTGATGACCAGCACATGAAGTAGCTATTGTTCATATGTGTATTTTCATATTAATATGCAAAGTTCCTCTGCACACTTTGTCAGGCCAGTGGAACCGTTTGCATGAAATCCCAATAAAAATAGTAGCAAGCTAAAATGTTAGCAAACCGTGGCTGGTTAGCATCACAGAGTGTGCAATGAATGCTGGGAGTTGTAGGAATGCTTGAAACGTGTTTTGACAAGTTTGTTTATTTGACTGTGAGCAGAATGGCAAATGGCTTTTTTTTCTTAGCCAATATCAGGTGTATTTAAATGCTTTTTTTTTGTTTTGTTGCTGGTATAAATGCAGGTAACATTCAAGAAACCTACACTAAAAGCAGTGGAGTGTTCCTTTAATCAAGGGCAGGCAAATGAATTCAGTGATATGCAGCCATTTAGAACAGATGGCACAGTAAACGAAACAATTAACAAAAAATCATCAAGAAGAGAAAAATGTGCCAGTGACAACCAGCTATGGCAAATTTTGTTTTTAAGGGAAAATATGAAGACCACATGAAACTTAAAAAGGTTAACGGGACAAAACTTAAAGATACCTGTTGGCAACAAGACAAGGGGCCCACCTGTCATCATGTACCAATAAGCAAAAAGGCAATACAGGATGAAGAGCCATGAAGGGGAAGAGTGGATGTGCTGGGCCAGTGTTTGATTTAATTTGGAATAAACGGTATAAAGAATGGTTGGTTAATACTAGTTACACGTTGGTGGAGATCTTGTACTTGGGAGACATGTTATTGTGGAACCAGATGAAACTAAAAACTACGCCCATGTTTTTGGGTATACGCTCGTCATAGGCAAACGTCATGGCCTCGTGCAGCGGGACTTTGACCACCTCGATGAGCTCTCCCTCCCGGGGCTCACCTCCACCTGCACTCACGCAGTTGTCGTCAGACACCTCGGCGTAAAACATAGTCTGCTTGGCTCCTGTTACACCTACGCCTGACCTGTAGGGGAGGAGGAGGGAGAGAGAGAGAAAAAAAAATGATTGATGCGTACGTATGTTTGCAATTACTCACGTTTTGACACAGGGCTGGATATCGTTTGAGGGTCCAAAATCTTGTTTTTTCATTATTTAACAAAACGCAAAAGCATCAGTGTTTCAAGCTGTCATTCCATAAAGAAGGGGACTTTCATTCCCTATTATTAATCCGACTTGATCGAGTCTTTCTTTAGTTGCTGTCTGCTTAACACCCATGTTTTTCTAATGCCTTGCCCCCAGTTTATTCTCTTATAAATCTGCAGTCTCCAACTACACGTGAAATCTGTAAAACTCCGTCTTTGAATGCCGGTAATAAGCGACACACCAGTATTTTCAATGCCATTTTCAGCCAAACTGACCTCGGGTTGCCTACTATTAGCACAGAATGTCACCACACCATGCGCTGCTGTCAAAACCCCCCCCCTCCCATAGGGGTCCTGAGGGTTAAAACGATACCCATCTGTTTAATGGAAGAAGCCCACACATAACAACGCTCATAGACGACACCAACAAAGCTGGAGGAGGAGTTCTAGTCAAATCAAAAGCACAGCTATGAGAGCTGTCAGTCAAAGCTGTCCAGGTGCGGCTCTTTAAACTGCTGCGTCAAGACGCAGTGTGAGCCCATAATGTGTTGACAGAGACGGCTGCTTTCCCTGATGCATCTCTACAGCTCACTTACATAACCTCAGCACTTTTAGTCCCATCTCTTAAGGTTGCATTTTTTTTTAATCTTGATATAGTTCCACCAAAGTCAAACTGTATTCATGAAAATGCATGCGTTCCTCTTGGGTGCATCGTATTAAGTGGGCTTTAAGAAAGCTTCGAGATTTAAAAGGATACTCAACCCAGAATTTGAATAACTCAAATTATTGACAGTGGAGAAGTGGATTATGCTGCAGAAATGGCTGAATATGTTTATGTAGACATAAAAAAAAAAGTCATAATAACTGGTAATGTTCAGTACTCATCCATGAAGGGCTTTTCTACTTTGTTTAAAGTCTACAGGGGTGAGTGTTGAGATTTTGAACGAGCTATCACTCTTTTAAATGACCTGCTGCAGACGAGGTGGAAATAACGTGATTAGCTACAATGATTGTGTTGACCTGGCATCAGTACACACAAACGCATGGCAGGGTGACGGCAAAAACTATCACTTTTAGTGGAGGTAAATGGACGATGCCAGGTTGTCGATGCAGTCCCCGAGCGGTTCCCATCTGCAGCGCCCGCATTGTCGCTATTAGTCAATTAGACCCGGAAAATAGGGCTCTGGTTAAAAAAAAATACTGAAGTTACCCTTAAATGGTACCTGGAATCAGTCCAACTAAAGAAACAAAAAGCTGCAAATGTGGGTTATTTCTGAGTGAACATAGCTCAAGGAGGTTCAGAAATTATAAAAGAAAGTTATACTAAATAGGACAACAGGATATTAATTGTTAAGGGACAAGAAATCCAGTGGGAGACACGAAAGTAGATATTTAAAACCGCTTCAGAACACACACACACACACACACACACACACATGTGCCATCAGCTTACCTGTAAGAAGTAATCCTCTTCAGTTTAGAGGCAGGCACATCGTAGCCACACTCCTCCAGCACCTCCTGCCGGGCGATCTCCTCCAGAGATAGGTCGGGTTTGTCCACCAGCCCGGCGCAGAGCTCGTAGGTGACCCCCGCTGAGGCCGGGGGCCACTGAGAAGAGCTCTCCCCCTCTGAGGCCGACTGGCCCTCCGGAGACTCGGGGACAGGGGCGGCGGCTTCGGAGGCGCCCTCCTCAGTTTTTTCCGCCGACTGAGGCGGCTGCGTCTTGGCCCTTTCCCACTCGCACATGTATACAGCTGGTTGGCAGAGAAGACAGAAAATACTGTTATACCTGGGTGGAAGTAAGACGTCATTCCCGTTACATGTTTGCGTACTTGTCTCTTCTTTTACAGACTATGATTCAGCGATTAAATGGAAAAATAAGTGACAAATGAATCGATATTGACAGGATGCATGCTAACCTTTGAAAGCTTTCTTAAAACATATTGACCACTCCCTTTAAAAAACAAAACAAATGCCATTCTAGGTTGTAGACAAATTGATTCATTTCAGATGGACGGACGGTATTTTTTCAACAAAGAGAGAGAGGAGAGGAAAGAAACATATCAATGCCCAGACTTCCTTGAATTTAGCACACTGCGCTGTGGAACAGTCCCTGGCGACATCTAACAAAGGAGGTTAGGCTGCTTTGTAACGGGGCCTCGTGCGCTCTATTTATGAGTCTGCATTGTTACTAAGATCCAGTAGAATAAACAGGGATTGTAATGTGCTGCCTTTTTTTCTTAGTCAAAGTGCCCACAGGATGTACGACAATCTAGATCTTTCTGGGTGACAAGAAGAAAATGAATGAACTAGGATGCAGATTAAAGTTAGTCTCCTGATTTGTGAGATGAAAACTTACCTGGGCGGAACTGCTTGACGAGGACAAAACAGTGTGAGCTGGTGTTGAAGATCAGCACTGACACACTAAAGAAAGAGAGACAAAAAGGGTCAAGTTTAAATAAAATCAAACAACTTTTTCTAACAGTAAATCTCGATGCATACATGATATATTAGGCAAGATGCTGAACCCCAAATTGCAGGGTTTACTGGATTAAAAACAGCATTTCGGTAAGGTGGGTCCACAAGTATGCGAGTCTGAAAACCTGACAAAGTAAGTAAACCGACTGCAGGGTCATACATTTTGGGCTGAATGTGGACGTCCACACAAACCCTCATGGACGATTGATTTGTTCTGAAAATTAGGCTTAAAAATGTGGTTAAAGTTTGAGTAAACTAACTGAAATCAAAACATGTCAAAAACACCTATGACTGTCGTTTTTCACGCCAACCCGTATGTACATACGTAACTATCCTATTCACCAGCAACGCTCCACACAATAGCAGCAATGTTATCACTGTCCAGTGCGCTACGGGCATCAGACGATGCAGCGTTGCCCTAAACCTTTGGCTTTTCTCAACTAAATTGCCTAAAGTGCTTCTACCAGAATTATACTGAAACTCAAATCCAACACAATTGGAAAAATTAGCCATTTTATGGAACAAGAGGACCAAATCATTCCAGATTCAAACGCCGACTCCCAACAAGCAAGAGGTTGGAGGTTCAGCGCTGGCACCCAGTGAAGTGTACATACGCAGGTGGTTCACTGCTCTCTGTGTGTGTGTGTGTGTGTGTGTGTGTGTGTGTGTGTGTGTGTGTGTGACTGTCGCTGCCAGTGGAGACTTGAGGCCTGGGGTCGGTGTTGGGAAAGCGGATGTGTCTGAGGCAGCAGGAAGCCCTGCCCTGCCTTTCCCAGGGTGAGAGGACATTATTGGACTTTACAACTTGTTGTAGCTACAGTACCCGGCCCGATACCGATTTAATATGTGTCTGCAATACAGATATTTCAAGATAAAGTCTAATGTCCATTTTCAACAATATATATGAATATCAGCAGGAAAAAATAATAAAAAAAGCTTCATATCTGGGCTCAGCCAGTTCCATTCCTCCATCACTTCCTCCTTTGCACTCATCAATGTAGAGAACAAGTACGGATTGGACAATGGTGTAGTGGTACATTTGGACTTAAAGTGGGGAAACACAGGCCTGAGGCATGGAGGCTGTCCACTGAGGCGGGCCCGGTCTTGTAGTGCTGTTCCACACCATTACAGCTGTTCCACATCCTCCCACTGAAGAGAAATGCTCTAATGGTTAAACCAAGAAGCCGGCTAAACGGACGCTCAGGACTTTTCACGCACCGTTAAGCTTTCTCCGCGGGGCTTCTGCAGGCTGGATGGCGGGAAAACTGGGTTATGACAGACATGCGAGGAGCGGGACTGAGGTGAGGACTGGGTCGCACTGCAAAGCTTCTGGTGTCAAGACACAATGATCACGTCTTTGTTGCACAGGAAAGAAATGGGTTACGTGCTAAATAATCCATCTTCTCATCCCGGAACTGAGGCGATGGCATTGCGCAAGACCAACAACTCCGGAGACACATTTTCTTTTGCCAATTGAGATATATTTGTATGCACCACATACAAAAGTGGTTCGACCTATTTTTTTATTACTAGTTTTAATGCATTTTTTTTTTTATTTAGTGATACATAGTCGTAGAATATATATATTTTTTTATAGAACATCTCTTGCTAAACACACTTAATTGAGTGTAGATACCCATCTTAGTTCATTGAGATTCACTGAACACTTTATGAAAGCAGTAGGGATTAAACTGAATGTGTTACTTTGTTTATAAATGATACATGTATCAGCTGGCTGGGGATACATCAGACATAATCAAACTCTGTAGAGTGAAAGGCATGGAAGCGAATAAAGACACATGAGCAGGACTACAGCCAGAGATCTACATATGCAAGGTACCATGGTCTCTTTAAAATGTCTTGCACTGGCTAAAAATACTGTCCGTCATTAAATATTATTTCCAGTAATAAACAAGCAACCGTACGCAAATACTCCCATTAACACATAGGTGTCGAAATACCAAAGCGACGGGAGTTCGCCCGTCCAGCCCGCATGTGTTTTTTTATCCTTATGACCGCGTCCCACTAGACGTCTTGGAGGCTCTGCATTCATGGCAGTTAGTGAAGGAAGGTGTTGGTGTTGGTGAGACTTTGGACCTCAACATTGTATATCTGCTTTTTTGCCAGTGATTCAATTCTGTCGGCTTCATCAGGCTGTGAACTTCAGTGGGACATGTAAAGGAACTCCCAAGTTGGAGACCCTGTGATTGAAAACAATGGATTTAGCCACTTCCAGTCCTCTTGAGTTAACACTATCTCAGGGTGAGATGTGGTATTAGATCAATGGGCGGATTACTGTACCGTCTGTGGTGAAGCCAGGAAGCTTCAATCACTAAATCAGATATTTCACAGTCTGCTGAAATGTCACAAAAAGGGTCCAGCCGAGAAGAAAATGTTACGCGCACTTACACACCAATGCAAAACAACCGTGGATCCTTTCAATACAGGCGAAAGGGGGGATAACACTTTGCAGAAGTTCCACCTGGGGGGGAGCTGGATGTTCCCATGGGCTATTTTCTTTAGGAAGTACAGGTCTGAGGTTTACTGCTTTTGGCCTCGGTGGAACTGTCTTTCACAGGGACCTCTCTCCGGGGTCAGGAGTGGAGGAAAGAGGGCTTAAATGACCTGAGACTTACTGCAGGGCATTAAGGTACCCGGGGGCAGAACAGGCAGTAGGGACCGGGGTTTTGACACAAATGTGTGATATTTCTCTTAAAGTGCCGCCTGTGAAGCCCAAGACATTTATAGCCATTGCCAAGTAGAATAACAGGGCACCAGTTCCCCGAAAAAACAAGGTCTGTTTTGGTTTGACTGCCATTCCAGTATTTGCCGTATTTTATGTAATATTTAGAGGTACAGAGATAGCGTAATTGGTGCAAATCGAGCCCCTTTGTCACTCAGACCATCAAATTCATCCTCGATCAGATTCAGATACTTTAGCTCTTCAGATCGCAAAATGTCTCCTGACACGGACACGCAGCCTTTTCTTTACATTTCAAAGCGATTTCATTGGCAACGGTTTTGACAGCGTGTGTGTGTGTGTTTATTCATGCGCCCACACACACACACACACACACACACACTATAAGATGGGGACTGCTTCCATCCAACAGTTGAGAAGAAACGGTGTTTTTACCTATCATGGGTTCGCATGAAGTCCCAGGATTTCTTTGTGCCATTCTGTGAAGAAATAAGAGAAAAAGAAACAACATAAGTTAATACAATAAACGGAGCATTATGTTAATCGTCCAGCACTGTGGTTTGACAACAGAGTACAACACAAAAAGTGCGAACACAGTGTGTACTCAGTGTAGCACACCTCCTCACTACCACCGTTTTATTTGACTCGTGTGGCAGTTAAAACAGCGCTGATTTATTTAATATGATTACTGCAGAAGCAATCAGCTGCCCAACAACTGATGCCTGCCTGGGCACGTTGGAGTAATATCACGAACCACACCCAACAAAAACATCTGCAGATTGCACAGTGCCGGCACCAAACAACTAAGACAAATGCAAACGTTAATGGTTGCTCCTTTTTTTCATAATTATTCGTATTGAAAAACACAATGATTATGGTGTGATTTTTATGGGTTTTTGTTGATCTGTACCAAAGTTGTTTTCTTAACTGTAGAATATGATGTCTGGGACAGTAAATAGTAATAATAATAAAATAAATAGTATTTTGACACATATTGTGTCTTTAACAAATATTGCGCCTCCAGACATTTGTAAATTGCAGAAGGCCATGTCTGGATTTTGAGAAGATTTTGATTAACTGTGCAGCCCTAGCTTAAATGTCAGGAACATCCTGTGCATTACAACTCTGAAAAGTGTCTTATTGTGCATTTTCTTGTCTCGTAAATGCCTCGTTAATGGGCGATTTTTGGGAGTATATCACGATTTTTGCATCCACAGTCAAAAAAGAATCCACGGTCCACACTGCTGGACTTCCTGATCGCTACACACTAAAACATGTCCTGTAGTTACAAACTGCACGTGAGAGAAGTTGTTGTGTCCGAGTGTTTAAAAGCCCAGCAGTCACATCACCACAACAACAGGACGTGCAGCTGAACACTCCTTCAGTAAATTTCCAGCAGCGCAATTACAACCAATCCGCCGAGGCAGGTGTGTGTGAGTGCGTGTGTGACCAGCACGAAAGGGATGCAATCGCAATCAGCACAAAGATCTTAAATATGTGGCCAGTGAGAGAGAGAGAGAGAGAGAGAGAGAGAGAGAGAGAGAGAGAGAGAGAGAGAACGCGATAACAATCCTGATCGTCCAATTTACTTTGAGGTTATTTTCATTCATGCTAGCTGAAGAGAGGAAAGGTGTTTACAGTTCAGGGTGCAAAACTGTATGAAGGAAAAGATCCAAATGATGCGGAATTCATGACTTCATTGCACTTAGTGTGAAGTCAACAAATTGTTTTCCTCCACTGACGTATAAGTGCCTGCAGCTGTGCTTCAGTCGGCACAAAGGACAGACTTTGTTTAAATCATTAGCGTAGAAATATTATTGCGTCCGATGTTGGTTCAGTTTTGTTAAGCGGTAAATCAAGCAGAAGTCTCAGTGAACGGGTCAGATGAAGGGCTGCAGGTCACACGCAAAGTCATCAAGGTAAGTAAGACCGAAAACCTTGAAATCATTCTATCATTCACATAAAATCAAAGACATGTGAATTAAACTGAAAACATAGCGTATATTCCTTCATCCACAGATTGCATGCTGGATAAGTACGGTAAAGTCGGCCTACATTTTCGATGCCTGGAGGAAATATGGCCTTAATTCAAAATTTAGGCTACACCTCCTCTCCACCCACCAGCTCCTTCAGATGAAGAGATGACAGCTTTACTAGGACAGGCTTGTATTCAGCTACAATAGATGTGCCGCCATGTGTGCCAGTGTGGCGGTGCAGTTTCAGTACCACCCAAGTAATGGGAGGAGGCGGAATGGCACGCTAATTGCGCTGATAGAATCAGAAATAATAGTTGCTGTTGTTGCAACACGGGGTTTGAGTTGAAAGTGCCACTGTGCCAAAGAGCAACTATAAGATTTCTATCTGAAAGGAAATAAACTCTCTCAAACACACACACACTTGACTGAACTCCTCTCTTAAAATGACTAAACAAAAAGTGAGAGAACATAAGCACACAGAGTGTAACTTTCTAAATGTAGTGTTTACTTCAGGCCTTGTGTTAACCTCCGATACATCGGACATTAAAAACTATTATAAATCATACTTTCAAACGACCGGTGCAGGACCTGACGGCTCACGTCCACGGGGCCTCAAAGTGAAGCCAAGCTATTATAACGCCATTCATGCATCATTAACTGTCATGTTGTGGCGTGAAACAAGAGCATGAAGCCAAAAGTTTGTGTAGGCTAAGTTATGGTATATCGCCTCCATTTACTGCAATAGCAATTATGTCAGTCCTATGATAAATGCTTACTGTATGCACGTTTGAATACTGAGCAGATACTCCCGACTTTAATCTAAAATAAAGTTTGTCATCATTGTCATCACTTGTCTCCGTCTGTTATTTTATATATAAATTGTACAGTATGATGTATAAGAGATAAATGATGCATTTAGTCTATATTTTCTTTGAATTTTCTACAAACCAACACTGCAGGCTCATGCTGCAGGTTTACATTTAGGTTGCATTTGACATGCTATGTATTGGGACGCACTGAAATGGTTTTGTGGCGTACTAACTGGTATGGTAGTGTGGGTAATGGAAGGCATAGATCTTCTCTGGCTGTCAGCCAACAGTAAGGAGTCGACGTCATCAAAACTCCTCGCTTGTGCCGTGTCATCAAAAGTGTTCTGCGTGCCCTGTGGACAGTCTAGTGGTGTAATTACTCTCACAAAAATCCCTCTCAAGTCAACAAAGTGTGCCGAGTGTCTTTACACGGCATCATTCCTGCTTGAGGCCAAGCCAGCCGCACCCCTCTCGCTTTCCCTCAGTAAAAGCAAAACTAGTGTGACGGCGTTTGCGTTTGTGTGTGTGCGTGTGTGATGGATTACTTGTCGTGACTGAGGCGATGGATGTTCTTTTTGTGGCTTGTTGCTTTGTTAAGCGTAATTATTGTATGATGTACAGTGGGTACGGAAAGTATTCAGACCCCTTTAAATGTTTCACTCT